TAAGAAATCTAAGGTGGCTAAGTTAATCTCAAATAAAGTTCTAAGCTAATCGAGCGACAATCAAATGAGATTATATTATTTGAGAATTTTTTTTAAAATTTGACTTGTCACTTATAGGGTCTCGACCAAAAATTATGGGTGATAATAGAGCGGGGTCTCGAAACTTATATTCAAGCCTAGAACACTCCACTTAGGGGATGTGGGACTCTATGCTCCACTGCACGCCTGATGCCCGGTCCTTGTCACTAGGGCTAGCCACCAGGGACTGAAGGTGGAGAGAGTAACCTCGACAACATCGATCGAAAGCCATGCTCCGATACCAATTCAAGGGGGGATTTCATACGAAAAGCTATAACTAATAAAAGAGGGGAGCCCAAGGCAAGTTCGCTCATGTCCTCTTTAATAGGGTTAATACCATGAAAAATCTTAAATCGATACATCCGTGACAAATTTACTCCAAACTAATTTTTTTTACTATAAAAACTCCAAACTTGTATACTTGCGAAAAATTTACCCCAAATTAATTTTTTAACCACAAAAAATCTCAAACTAATTTGTGACAAATTTATTCTATGTTAAATTGGATTAATACAAAAAAAAATCACAAATCAGTATATCTGTGATAAACGGAGGGTAAAACCTCAAACCGATACATCCGTCAACTATCACGTGTTATTTAACTTGGCAATTTGACAGTAAAATTTAATGAAAACTAACGGAGGGTAAATTTGTCACGGGTTTACCGGTTTGAGATTTTTTATGATCAAAAAATTAATTGAGAGTAAATTTATCGTAAATATATAAATATAAAGTTTTTGACGGTATTAATAAAAAAAATAAAAAAGAAAGTAACTTTCGCTCCTAGCCCTGGTTTTGACCTCTCCTTCCTCCTCGTGCGTATTTGATTCTCTCTCTCTCTCTCTCTTCTCTCTCTGAAAATGTGAATCGGCAGCCGCCATCTCCATCATTGCGAGATATCTCTCTCTCTCTCTCTCTCTCTCTCCACCCTCTGAAACTCTTACCCATCTCTCTCTATCTCTCTCTCTCTCTCTCACAATGTGATCCCCCGTTCTCCCAGCCTGCCTCGAAGCAACCTTCTTGGCTGGCTCCCCACCTCCCCATCCACCTCCACCTCCACCTCCGCCGCCGCTCCTCAGCCGAGCGCCGCCGCCGCCGCCTGGCTCGAAGATGTCGCCCCCCGCCCCCGCCGCCGCGGCGTCGTCCTCCTCCCAGAAGAAGAAGAAGAAGAAGAGGCCCCTCCATTCCCTCCTCACCCACAACCTCGCCAACCTCACCATCCCCTCCTCCTCCGCCGCCGTCGCTCCTCCTCCGCTCTCCTCCTCCCCCTCCCAAGACTTCGATTTCGCCGAGGTCTTCGGTCCCATCACCCCCCACCCCCCACCCCCACCCCCTCCACCCCAACCCGTCGTCGTCTTCCTCCTCCGCTCTGCATCCCCCGCAGGACCCCCCCGTCATCCAGCACCGGTCCCACTCCTTCGTGGGCCCGTCCCCTCGCTACACCCACTCCAACTCCCTCCCTTTCATTGACTCCTCTTCTGAAGACGAGGAAGAAGATGGTGATGGTGATGATTGTGAAAAAGGAGGGATTTTGGATGGAGATGAACGGGAAAGCTCGCATCTTGGTGGCGTCGGCGGAAAAGAAGTCGCGAAGAGCGGCGCCAAGATCGGGCCTGGGGATTTCGAGATACTGCGGGTGGTGGGGAAGGGTGCTTTCGGGAAGGTTTTCCAGGTGAGGAAAAAGGGCGGGCACGGCGAGGACGGTAAGGGCGACGGGATATACGCGATGAAGGTCATGAGGAAGGAGACGATCATAAAGAAGAATCACGTGGATTACATGAAGGCCGAGAGGGATATTCTCGCCAAAGTTGTGCACCCCTTCATCGTTCCCCTCCGATATTCTTTCCAGGTGCTGTGCTTTTTGTTTCCAGATGTGTAGAGCTCTTTTCTTGGACTTCAGTTTCTCGATAGATTGCGCATTTTAGAGTGTTGTTTAGCTGTTCTGGAATGCGACGCGGCGTGAAATTCGCGCCGTTTAAGGATAGTTAACTATTTTGGTCATTGGATTATGGAGACTTCTTTGGTTTTTCCTGGATGGGAAGTGAAAGTCCCTTTGGTTAAGAGTAGTTTAACTGTTTTGCTCGATTGCCTCTCATTAATGGTTCGAGAAAAAGTGCATTTTGGGGAGCTGTTGAAACAGGTATGAAACTATTAGACTGATAAATAGAGCAGCATAATTTGCCTTTTCCCTGCAATACTCGAAGTGCCCATGAGCACTTGAAAAATAGATACGCTCGTTTCATGTTTTTTAGCAGGCTGTAAGTGTCGAAAATTGATGCTTTTGGTGACCATGACTTTGCCCATTCTTCCACGGTCGGAGCCGATTGGCCTCGGTCATGAGACCGTGTGGAGCATGACGAGTTTGATTCGCTAGGCCAGCCTTCTTTTCTAAGAATCGTGGCTTGTATAATGGAATGCTTCATTGTGGTCAATCGTATCACGTCTCCTTTAAACTCGGGCATCTCGTATGCTGGATGTGTCTCGATTCGACACAACAACTAGTTTCGGTCTGCTGTGGCCATCATTGAGAGAGCAGCATATGCGTCCGGCCAGTTTTTGTACAGAGGGAAAATCCCACCTACGAACATCTTCCACATGATAGTCCTTTCATCAATTGATTTGAGCACAAACTCTCTAACACCACTCACACGACCCAGTTGTATCGTCCACCACACATTATGGCAATGGAATATTGTCTTCCACATGATATTTTACATGATATATCTCATGCTTCTCCCAGTATTACGAAGTTGACATTTGTGCCTTCGTGGAATGGGGAAAAGTCGAACCGTGACACAATTATGGCAATCGGTGTTCTTCCCAATGAGTTTGCTTGGGCTTAGTTGGACCCAAAATTATAATTTATTGCATAAATACCTGCCTTGCAATGTTACTCTAACTCCTCCGGTTGTAAAAAAGCACGATGACATAAGGACTATCCTTTAGTTGAGTTGGTGCTTAGAGTATAATTTGCTTTTGAAGCTCGGTTTTCAACTTTGAGACGTGAATTTGCTTTGGAGAATTGTTGGCCTTACCATCGCTATTTCAGGCCTCCATCAATTTATTTATCGTTATCTCTTTTAGGTTGTGACACATTTTCTCTTCTCTTCCTTTGTCCACTTGACAGACCAAGTCGAAGCTTTATTTGATCCTGGACTTCATAAACGGAGGGCATCTCTTCTTTCATCTTTATCGACAAGGGATATTTAGGTATCTCATGACTTGAACTCTTGAATCACTTTCTAATGTGGTTAATTTACAGTTGTTTTAACTAATTAGTCTTTTGTGACGGCCAGTGAGGATCAGGCGAGGTTTTATACTGCTGAGATAGTATCTGCTGTTTCACATCTTCACAAATGCGGAATTGTGCACCGGGATCTCAAACCTGAAAATATTCTCGTGGATGCCGATGGACATGTAATGCCACGTAACTAAGTGGTTCGACGGAAACATGCATTCTGCACATGATTCTGGTTTTATACATTGTTTAAATCGGCTTTCATTATCTGTTCTTCAAACAGGTAATGCTTACTGACTTTGGTCTAGCAAAGGAAATCGACGAGTCAAGCAGATCAAATTCGATGTGCGGAACCACCGAATACATGGCTCCTGAAATTTTGCTTTCTAAAGGCCACAATAAAGATGCAGATTGGTGGAGCGTCGGGATACTTCTATATGAAATGTTAAATGGACAGGTAATGCTCTGTGCATATTGGATGGTTCATTTTACCGGTGACCTAATTCATTCTACCCTGACATATCCCAGGCATGCCTTGCTTTCAGTTTTTCTCATATCTAGGGGGATCAGTCCGCCTTTTTCAGCTGTGATTCCTGGAATCTTAGATGAAATTGGTCATTTTTTAAAGCATTGGCTAGCATGATAAGCATTGATTTGGGCATAATTTAGGCAGAAAAGGTTTCTGTAACTGAACAGCATATTTCTTTCCCACTTTCTGCATTGCTCTGGCTGGTTTTGACTAAGGCATTCAGTATACAGATCTACTGCCTATGATCCACTTGTTTCCGGAATTACGTTGGTTCTTATAATCTTTGCAGCCACCGTTTACGCATGCAAATAGGCAGAAGCTTCAGCAGAGAATTATCAATGAGAAACTTAAACTGCCACCACGCTTGACTAGCGAAGCTCATTCTTTGCTCAAAGGAGTAAGCATTCCATGCGAGCTTTATATTTTTTATTGTGCAAACTAACAAATAATTAGAATCGGTTGTTTCCCCTTCTTTGCAGCTGCTACAGAAGGAACCATCTAAAAGATTAGGAAGTGGACCAAAAGGTGGAGAAGAGATTAAAGGTCACAAATGGTTCCGGGCAATCAACTGGAAAAAATCGGATGCTCGAGAGGTGCAACCAAATTTCAAGCCGGATGTTTCTGGAAAAGATTGTATAGCCAACTTTGACAGATGCTGGACTGCAATGCCTCCAGATGACTCACCAGCTCCAACACCTACTGCAGGTGAACATTTTCAGGGTTATACCTACGTTCCCCCTAATCCTTGGCTTTCATCCAGTTCTTTGGAAGGGTAACGCCCGCCGTAGCAGCACTGGAAGTGGGAAATAAGCTACTGTAAGTTTGCATTAGCTGAGGGAATTAGAGATAACCACAACTTACCATTGCTTGATTTAAGTATATTCTCACTGAATTGCTTGGTTTGATTTTTTTTTAACTGTAGCTACTTGTACCCTACTGTATTTTTTTACTTTATTAGTTGTTTAGGGACATCCCTTTAGTAATCAAATCTGTTTCTTCATTTCTATTTTTTTTTTATTAGTGCTTCTTCATTTGTCGGTGTTGCCTATATAAAGTAATGCTTATTTCGGTACTTGAGATGAAGCCCGCACTTCACCACCTGTACTCTCCATCATTCCTTTATTGTGATATAAAATCAACAGCCTGCCAGCTGCACCGTTGTATTGCCTTGTTACTTATTAAGACGCAAATTATTGTTGACTGCCAATGCTAAGTGCTTGTTCCTATAATTCGAAGTAATCCATTGTGAGATTCATATTTAAGCCCACTGTTGAGGTTCATTCAAAAGTAATTCAAACGAAAAGAGCAGCTGATTGGCTGCTCTAGCTTGCGTTGACAAGTTGGCAATGTGAGAGGCCTTTCTTTCTTTTGGGGTCTGAGTATCTCATTCCAAATGAGAGAGAGAAGGGGTGAGGAGGCGTCATCTTGAAGGTGACACAATGTAAAAACGAGTGGCAGAGGCAAGCATTCAGAACTGCAATTAGAAAAGCAGACGGAGGAATCTAATTCTACTGTTCTTTACTTACAAAAGAAGCAATATGTATAATGACTGACTCACAGAAGTCCAGACACCTAGAATACCTCTTTTGACAAAATAAAGGATCAGATGTGACCCTTGATGGTGTAGGGTGGGCAGGAACATATAGTTGTCTAGGGAGCGAAACTTCTTCGTGAAGGTTACTGAAGGGAATGCCGAATTGATTGGAAGCTTTCAGAAGTGCATGGTGAAAGGATGGTAAGAGTGGAATCTAGCTTTATCCAAAATGAAGCGAAGTCATGGATGCAGCTTTAGAGCTAGATGCGTCACTAGCACATGCTTAGTTTTAAACTGCTACTTTGTGTGGGATCTCCAAGAATGAACCCCTCTTTCATGGAAGGACTTGAGCAAGTTCCCTTTTTCTTCTGTCAAGATTATATTAGTATCAATACAAAAGTTCTTCCTGGAATCTGGACGAGATAAATTAGGATTAGCCTCAAATCCCAACTAGTAAAGATATTATGATCACTTTTAGAAAGTATTAAGGTGTGGTGTTCTGAAGTTATTTCTTTTGTTCTATAGACCAATTGCTGTAATTGCATATTTGAAAATAGAATCCATGCTTTTTGTTGCTTCATAGAAATATATTATGAACCTACAGCTATTATTCTTCTCATTTCTTGGAATAAGAGAATCCACAGTAAAAGTAGGTCTCTTTGAGTGTAGAGGACCCCCGAGAGACCGGAAGAAAAATTAACTAGCTATGTCTCTCGTTTCTGTCCCTGTGTTGCTCTATAAGAGCTCCATCCTTTTTGTTCCGTATAACCCAATTCTCCTGCTTATTATTTTCTGAGAGCTGTTTACTAGAGGTAGTCAAGAGTGAATTGCCATGAATTATAAGAAAAGAAGCAGCGACTCCCTTTGTGAGAGGTCTATGAAGATGGTGACAAACGTCCTTAGGTTATCATCTCTTTCAATAGCCAGCATGAGCTTAGGAACCACTGGTCGTTCAGTTTCAGCTCAAAGTCATAGTGCTAAGGATTCTTCCATGATGGCTGATGAACCAGTTGTTCCGCAATTTGCTGGTAGCCGCCGATCACAAGAGCCGCAGAGCTGGTCCAAGCCCGTTTCATACTTGGTGGAGCTGGAAGATGGGATTGAGTCTGCATATGTGTTTCGCGATGACAAGAACGTCGATGGTATGGCTTCCGACTATATCGAACGGGTCCACAAGAAGAATCAACATTATTGCCGCGAAGCATCTGAGGATTCTCCTATCATCTTGCCTCCTCCACCTAGTATGCTGAAGTACAAGTAGCTATCTTTCACCGCCTGTTCTGGGTAACTTAACTTTCTTCTTGTTCAAAAGAATCTTAATCTTGTTTTCCGTTGCCTCTTGTCAGTGAAATAAGGCTTAATGGAAAGTTCATATGGAGCTGGCTCTCCCTCTCCCGCCTTCTCTCTCTCTGTCTCTCTCCCTCCCCCCCTCTCTCTCTCTCTCTGGACCCTGCACAAACAGGGGAGATCACAGTGTGTGGCTGGCTGTCTTGGCTTTGCTGGTCAGTTGTATGTAAATGATTTGTTCCTAACTTCCTTTTTTGACTTCCTCTTACTTTCTCAGTTATTTTGTTGGATATGCCTTGTGCACTCCGTACAGGGCCCAAGGGGATTGGCGGCGGTGGCAACCGTCACAAACTGTCGCCGTAATTTTTGTTGATTTCTGTTATGTTCTTAATAGTTTCCATGTAAAATGTCCGTATCTCGCCCTTTAACTTTAGATTTCGCCAAATTCCCTAGCCTGCAACCTCAAATCGGAACTCTCGATTCGCTTTCTTTGTCAGTTTGGTTTTAGCAGTGGGGGGTCTCTCTCAATTTGGAAAGAACCCTGAAGTTCTCCGATGCTTCACTTTCTATCTTTGACGAATAAAGTGGGTTTAGACTCTGTTTTTTCAAACGAGTTTTTTGCACTGAAGCGCGCTTCTGGGCGAATCTTTGAGAGGGTGAACTTGGCTGATGTTTTGGAATCTCGTGTTCCGCGAGGGATGAAAGATGGTTTAACGATTCTGAGGGCTGAGGCGGGTTGGACCTTCCAAATCATTGGATAGATCACTTCTCTTCAATAGATCTGTCAAATCGGCGGGTCGGGTCAATTTGCATTGGATCGAAAATGATTCGACCCAAATTGACCTATTTCTATGCAATGTAAATATGGTAACTCGTACTCGACTCGTTCCATATTGCTAAAGAACTTTCATATTTAATTAAATCTTGAAAAACTCATACCCAAAATTGATGTCAAAATACGGAGTGAGTGAGTGCGAGATCTAGTGAGGGCGAGAGAGACTGAAGAGGGTCATAAAAGTGGATTGTGTTTAAGTAAGTTATGAATCCATTTATGATCGATTTATGATTCATTTAACACCCATATGTTTGAATATAGGGAAAATACCACCAAAAATCTCAAATTATGCCACTTACGATAAATTTACCCTGAATTTTTTTTTGTGACACGAAAAACCCCAAACTATACCACTTATGACGCATTTACCCCACAATACTTTGGCCCAAGGGCATTTTCGTCTTTTTCTTTTATACGTTTTTTTCCTTTTTTTTTTCTTTTCTTCTCTCTTCCCTCCGCCATGGCCGGCGGAGGGAAGCCGGCGAGGGCGGCCCTCGCCAGCGTTGGGTTTGGGTGAGGGCTGCCCTCGCCGGATCTGGTGAGGGCAACCCTCGTCGGCATCGGGCGAGGGTGACTCTCGCCCGACGCCGGCGAGGGCAGCCCTTGCCCAACCCTAACGCCGATGAGGGCCACCCTTGCCGGCTTCCCTCCACCTTGGCCAGTGGAGGGAAGAGAGAAGAAAGAAAAAAAAAAGGAAAAAAAAAACAGAACAAGGAAAAAGACGAAAATTTCCTTTGGCCAAAGTATTGTGGGGAAAATGTGTCACAAGTGGCATAGTTTGGGGTTTTTTGTGTCACAAAAAAAAGTTCAGGGTAAATTTGTCACAAGTGACATAATTTGGGGTTTTTGGCGGTGTTTTCCCTTAAATATATTTATGACCCATATAACTGAATATAACTAACCCATATAACAACTTAGCTTATTATATAGGGGTTAAGAAAAGGGTCTAAGAATCATTTTGACAAGTCTATTGTTCATCAAATCTTCCCAATTTCTGCTCTAGTTTGGATAAAATGTAGCGAGGTGCTATCATGCCGTTCAATAGGATGATAATGTTTTTGGCCACAATTGTTCTTCACAACGTTTTAAACATTCCATTAGTATCCTAACCAACTCCCTGCCAAGTGCCCGTGCTACTCGATATAGTCGATGTTGCACCTATTTCGTCAAAATAATGCGGTGAACCAAACCATGTAGATATTTCACGAACTAACTAGATGAAGTGTACATGAACGGCACATTGTATTCAGTAGGGGTATGCAAAAGAATTGGGAATGCCCAAATCGCCCAAAATCGAACCGAACTGGCCCAGAACCAGCGAATTCCAGGAGTATCGATCCGATTTCCGATTCCAGATGTAAAACCATCCATCCGCCCACCCGGATTGGACCGGTATATATATATTGTGATAAATATATGTAAAGAAAAAAAAACCCCTAATCAGGCTTCACACATACAATTCTTGAATACTCCTATCCTCCACCTTCTCATGCACGCTAGCCCTCTCAACTCTCTCACCTCATCTTAAATGTGTTTTCTTTTCACTGTACGGTCTCCCTTCTCTGCTTACACCACCGACCCACCATTAACATGACATCTTAAAATTTATAACATTTCTTGCTTCGGACCGAGTCAAAGAGTTGGGGTTTGTTCAAAGAGAAGGGAAGGGAGAGTTCTAGGTTGGTGTTAAAATGGAAGGAGAAGAGAGATCACTGGCTTAGACACCCAACATATTTAGTCTTGGTTGCTCTGGATTTCTTCTTTCAAGGCTCTTTGAAGAGGGTTGGAAAGGTCTGAACTTTTCTTTTCTGAGCTTTCTCTATTTATCCTTTTGGTTCTTTAAAATGTTTGAGGAAAGTTGGAAGAAGAAAAGAGAAGGAGAACGAAAATGTGTAGTTAGTTGCCGTAGTATCGTTTTGATACTGAACAGAGAATCCATGCACACACGCACACACAAAAAGACCGGTTCGGTCCAATTCTTGGGTGAATCCATGAAACCAACAGGCGATCCCCGGTTCTCATTTTATGAAACTAGTACTTAGTGGACGGTTTCCGATTATAGGATGAGAACAACCCACCTTGAAATCGATCACTCCTAATATTCACGGGAGCTTCTTAGTCATGAACCTGTATAATCATGTCCTTTTTCTTGTGGATGGTATATGTTTTGTTCGGTGGAATGTGCACCTCGAACCGAACGAGCCGTTTAACATTCTTACCAGGTTAAGAGGTCGAGTCTTCTTGAACTTGACATCAGTCTATCCGAATATTATTACAAAATGTAAGTAGTAACTTTCAGTAATAATTTACCACTGGGGGTTTACCCCAGTGGCCACCCTTCTCACTTGATAAGGGGGAGGTGGGGAGTTCGAATCCCCACCTTCGCAGGGGGGTAGGGGTGGGGCCGCGTAGTTTAAGAGGTGGGTTTCGACGCCACGCCTTGCAAGAGGTGGGGCGCAGGTCTGAATGTGTATCGTGAGTGAGAGATAGAGTAGGACCGACCAAAAAAAAAAACTTTCAGTAATAATTGGCAGGAAAATCTTCCGTAGGAGAATATTAACTTCTCACATGACAAAAAAAAAGTAGGTGTAAAATGTATCCTTCTCTTATGATTTCTAATTTATCATACGCAGAATAAGATCAGTAAATGTCGTCAAACAACTTTCCCATGTGAACTGGTAAAAAACTACCAAACAGAAAAGTTAAATACTAGTGTATCATGTAGTTGGCAATATCATACACAAATGTGAAAGACGACTAGCACCATACCCCTAGTAACCCGGGCATTTTGCCATCCATGTTCAGACATGGAGGAGGCTTGTCTGATTTTTTAGCCAACCCAAGCTGCACAAGATCATGAACAGATTGTGACCAATCAAAGGAAAGGTCAGTACCACCCTAGACTTTGTCTGTATACAAAGGATAAAAAGAAAACCAAAGCGACACAATTATTGAGCTTATCTTATCCAAGATCACACAATCTCAAATCGTGTCCCTCGATACAGGTAAATAAAAGATCTGCCCCCACCAACCACTGATGGACTCAGTTGATTCTCCTTTTGCTGTCACAAGATCTACACGAACCAGTAGAACCAGTAGATATTGAAATCAGACCCCACCAATGAATGAAACGGCAATGAACGGGAGAGGTTTTGTTAGTTCAGTTTAGAGCGCTTACAGATACAGACAGACAGAAGACAAAATGACTAAGAATCCAATGGGCTTACAGAACAGCAGCATCAACAACACAAAAAAGACACGATCATCTTTTCCGTTGTCCGTACAGATCGGCAACTGTACAGATCGGCGACGACCCCTATCTTTCTCTAACCTAAGTTATCCCGAGGGTTTTAGATAACCCTTTACGACGCCACCCCAGAAGCTCTCATGCGACGCTGATCATGTTGTCCCCCTTGCCGAAGCTCGGGGTCATCTGGAAAGCCGAATGTCTTCTCGAAGACTCGCTCTGGTCCTGAGGCGATGCCAGATTCAGCGACAGCTGCGAAGGGCTCTTTGGGGGCATCAGAGATAAGTTGAGATCATGGACAGCTGGAGCATGAGGAGCTTGAAGAACGGGAACTGGGCGCACTAGCTTTGCTGGAGAGTTTTCGAATTGCACGCCTTGCACGATGCTCAGATTTTCCACTGGATTCTCCACCGGCACTGGCAATACGATGGACGTAATTGCCACTGTCGCCGGCATCATCGAGAAACCTGAGATGTTACTGGTTTCTAGCAGCGCCACTGGTGTTGGTGGTGAAGGATATGACTCAGACGCAACATCTACTGAAGGAGCTTCCTCTTCCATCAGTGTACCAGCAGTGACCTTGAAAAAGAAAACACAACCAGTCATTAGTTAAATGCGTTCTTTATCCCCCAAAAAGAGCGCTTATCATATTCAATTTTACAAAGAAATGAGAGCGGGTTTTGATTTTTAGTAGCCCAGTACTCAAGAAATCAAGTAATCTCCGCTCACCCAAGCATTTCATTTGTTAAGGTCAACTTCCCAATTACGAAGCCCCTCTGCCCACATAAATATGATTGAATGATGGTTTACATTTACATACTGTATTACTTAGTATGAAAGCAGTGTCTAGTCAGCAATTTTCTTGGATGCAGTCCAGTAGCAGAGAAAGAAGAGGCAAGGGAAATAACAAAGTCCAAGTTCCAAACTTCAAAACGTGCAAGCCATGAAAAGACTATATATACCTCCCCCAACTAATCCTAAGAGAACTGCTCACCTAAGAGAAGTCAACACCAAGGAAACGAAGGCTATAAGTTGTAACAATATGCAGAACGCGGTATGAAGCAGCCAAAGAAATATAGACAATGCAGCAATTTTCCACAGAAAAGAGGAACAATTGACTCATAGAACCCAAACTGGGAAGCAACCACACTGTATAAGCCCACACAAAACTAACCCAAACCAAACAAGTTCTCATTCATAAGATAACAAATTAAGGCAATTATGAATGAACAAGAATAGGTAATCGGCGGAAATAGTTTACTGTATCAGTGGTGATATCAAACAGGCTAGTACGGCGGCGACGGCGATTGAGGTTGCTCCGGCGGAGAAAGTACTTCTGGGCATGACTCGCCACCTGCGTGGGCGTCCGAGTCTTCACAAAGTTCTTCGAAATGCCTCTCCAATCACCCTTTCCCACTTTCTGCAATCCGAGCAGGAACAGCCTGTGTTCCTCCTCTGTCCACGGAACTCCTGATCACAACAGACGGACCGCAAGGATCAGAATGAGAAACCCTCGGCAGAACATCATTAATTTACAGTTCATGGTATCGATACAACACATCTCGACTAAATCGCACTAGCGACGAACATACTTCCGATTCGAAACTTAATCGAAAGAAGAAAAGGATCGAACTAGAACAGAGAATCTCTTCCGGCGAGAATCGGCCGATGATATCCGTGATTCGAGTCAATCCGTAGAAAGGGCAAAACAAAATTCAAATTCCTACGGCAGAGTTCAATCATAGGTCCGATCGGCAGCAATTGCAGAACTCCGGCAGCAAAAGTCGAAACGTCTCAATCTCAAGAAACGATTAAAGCAGATTCACGATGGAAACTGGAGGTGGACCGTACAGCACGATCTAGAAATCCAAATCGAAAATCATCGCCACGCGAAACTAACAGGAAGGCATCGATCGACGATCTAAACAGTAAACAGAGCATCTCGAAAACCAACACGAGAGTATGGCGATCACCATAAGCGAAAACAAAAAAGAACCGGATCGTTACCTCGCTTGCGCTCGCGGCCCGCCCCGCCCTTCGCGCCCTGCGCGACGGCGTCGTCGGCGGACGCGTAGCCCGCAGCGGCTGCGGCCGCCGCCGCCTCATCCTTGCCGCCGCCGCCGCCGCCGCCGCCGGCCGCGTCCTGCGGCCGCTCGTACTGCGACAGGTTGTTCAGGCTCACGCTCTTCCTCATGGAGTCCAACACCACCCTGACCCCGAAGAGCATGAATTCCCCCGCGCCGCCGGGGGCGGGGGGGCTCCCCTCGCCGGACGTGGCGCGCGCGCCGCTGCCGCTCGACATCTCTCCGCCGCACGCAGAGGCCGCGGAAGAAGAACCACCGCCGGCAGCTCGCTCTCCCTCTGCCTCGGCGCGATCGCGAGAACACCCGATGAGCGGCGGCTAAGGGAGGCGTTTCGTTTGGCGTTACTCGGCGGTGGTGGTGGTGGTGCTGCGTGTGGTGAGGAATCTGAATGGGCCGTACAGTTGTCGAGAGGGAGAGAGATGAAGGGATTTGGTGGTGCCGCGACGGGACGCGTGCTGCTGCTTATATGAAGGGTGAGGTGCAGCCACGTGGACGGCGTGGAGGGCCGCGATTGGCCGGGGCGAGGCGCCACGCGGCGCTCGGGTCACGGTCCGTCTGCTCCCCCCCGCGTTCGTACTCCCGTCGCTCTATCGTGTCCGCGGGGGGAGAAAAAAAAAAAAGCGAACGACGATAATTGATGTGGTTTGGAAATGCGAAAATGACGCAAACAATCTCTACACTTTCTCAAAATGTGTAATGTAATCTTTAAATTTTTAATTTGTTTAATATAATCACCAAACTTTAACTTAATATGTAACGTGATCCCTGAACTTTTAATTTGTTCAATGCGATCCCTGAACTTTTGATATATGTTCAATGTAGTCCCTGAACTATATAAAAATGTTCGATGTAGTACATCGAATATTTTCATATAGTTCAGAGACTACATTGAACATGTACCAAAAATTTATGGACCACATTGAACAAATTAAAAGTTCATAGACCATATTGAATATTAGGTTAAAATTCAGGGACTACATTAAACAAATTAAATTTCATGGACACACGTTGCATATTGTATCGAAGTTCAAAAACTGTTTGTCATTATCCATTTGAAAATTAAAGAAAGGAGAGAAGGACGATGGGTAATGATGCTCAGTGTTGTGCTAGTTGTTTTTTTTTTTTTTTGGTCTCACTTGCTACTCTCCCTTTAAATTCAACATTATATTACTTTTTTATATATAGTTTAAATCGGTTGTCGTGCTTCTTCGATACGTTAACCATTATTAGTCGTTCTCATTTCGTCAAATTACTATGTTACAGAATGCTGAGTTGAACTTTGAATCGCTTATCTGTAGATTCTGTACGAATTGGGAATGCAAGTTTAATTCGCTCGATAGCTTGTACGAAACTTATGTCGCCGCAAGAGCTACTACATTAACGATCGGGGTGAAAAGAAAGTATAAGGATCATTTTGACTCCTTACTCTATAAAATTCCTTGAGCTATGAGCTAATGTACAATGTGGTCCCTAAATTTTTACTTTGTTTAATGTGGTCCCTGAACTTAAGCCCAATGTTCAATATCGTCCCTGAACTTTTAACTTGTTCAATGTGATCTATGAACTTTTGGTAATAGAAGGATCACATTTATTATTTTCATATAGTCCAAGAACTAGTTTGAACATTTGCCAAAAATTCAGGTACCACATTGAATAAATTAATAGTCAAAAGACAACATTGCACGCCGAGCTAAGGTGTATGGGGCACATTGAATGAACTGAAAGCTCGAGAATCACATTATATATTGGGGAAAAGACCACAAAAAACCTCAAACTATGCCATCTGTGACACATTTACCCTGAACTTTTTTTGTGACACAAAAAACCCCAAACTATGCTATTTGTGACACATTTACCTCAATGGACTTTAGTCCATGGGCATTTACGTCTTTTTTGCTTTTTCTTTTTTTTTCCTTTTCGACGGGGCGACCCTCGCCGGATCCGGCGAGGGCGACCCTCGCCCGACGCCGGCGAGGGTCGCCTCTCCTGGGCGAGCGACGGCGGCCCTCGCCCGACGCCGGCGAGATTCGCCTGACGCCGGTGAGGGTCGCCCTCGCCGGAAAGGAAAAAAAAAAAGAAAAAACCAAAAAGACGAAAATGCCCATGGACTAAAGTACATTGGGTTAAATGTGTCACAAATAGCATAGTTTAGGGTTTTTGGTGTCACAAAAAAAAGTTCATGATAAATGTGTCACGGGTGACATAATTTAAGATTTTTTGTGGTCTTTTCCCATGTATTGGGCCAAAACATCATGAACATTATCACGTGGACTGGGGCAGTAGGAGGACCACTAAAGCGAAATCAATTTTTTTTTTGTCAATAAAATCGGATTATTTTAAAAATAGAGAATATTATCTTATCGTACGAGCGAGCGCGCGATTATCGAGGCCAGATCGATCCAGTCAATGCCCGACACTGAGCCGTGTCAACTTGACTTTCGACAATATTCCAACTTGTAAATTTCAAACGCTACTTTTCCATCCAAAAACGTGTCGACGAGTTGATTTCGACCCCACTCAGAACGCAATCCCCCAAACCGATTAATCTTTTTCATTTGTTTGACCCACCACCAATGGGTATCCCTCACCTTTTCTCATCCTCTCTCCATTAATAATCAAATTTGAAAATGGACTATTACGACGAAAAATCCTAGATCGATATATTTACGATAAATTTATCATAAATTAATTTTTTGATCACAAAAAATTCCTTCAGATCGATATACCTGTAACGAATTTACCCCGAACTGACAAATTTATCCTCCGTTAAATTATATTAATACCACGAAAAATCGCACATCGGTACACTCGTGACAAATCGGGGGTAAATCTCCAAACGGGTACATCCGATTCAGCAATTTAATGGAAGCCAACGGCAGGTAAATTTGTCATGGGCGTACCGGTTTGGGGTTTTTGACGATCAAAAAATCAGTTCGGGTTAAATTTGTCACAGATACACCAGTTTGGGATATTTCGCGATATTAACCGCGGAAATAAAAAATACGTTTTTTTGCTCGAAAGGGGTCTCGAGAAATTACGCCCAAACACGAATCGAAATTGTTTCGGGGACGGTAATAATCTATTTCCAGATCGCACAATCGACCGCTTTTTTTAAAAAAACGAGACAATCGAGGCGGTCGTTGCTAGGTCTATTCCGATTTCATGGAACTCTTTTTTTTATTATTTTTTTATTTATAAAGGGCATGCTTTTTGGCTCATCTTTTCTTTCGTTTTTTTCCTAATTTTTCAATACGGTGACGTTATGAGAGCGGGGTGCGGAAGATGGCAGCATATGGACCGTTGAATATGTATTAGGATATTCGGCAAGATGGGGGTTGAGGAGGGATCTTTCATACTTTATATTATCTCGAGAAAGCAGTCCGTACCATTGGAGAACGATAATGTTGTTATTATTATTTGATTTATTGCCATCATTCATTGATTATGGTGGGGCTGTGCGCATAGAGGGTTATAGGATAAAGCCAAAGATGAGGTTATTCGTGGGCCTCCACCAATCAAAGCTTCGCTTTCCTTCCCCACGTTCCCCGAAGCCATCTTGACTTTTCTTCTTCGTGCCAATTGGTTGTCAAATTCGGCAATCGATTCCCCGGTCGTATACGAGTGCCGTCTGTTTCGCGAAAAAATGAAAAGTTAATGGTACAAAAAATTCTAAATTAATACATTCGTAATTAATTTATTTCGAACTAATTTTTTGACCATCAAAAATCCTCGAACCGGTACATATGTGACAAATTTACCCTCCATTGATTTCCGTTAAATTTTACCATCAAATTACCAAGTTGGATGACGCGTAGCAGTTGATGGGTGTAACCGTTTGGGGATTTATCCCTCCGTTTGTCACAAATTTACCAATTTGTGGTTTTTAGTGGTTTTAATCCAACTTGACGGAAGGTAAATTTGTCACATATTGACCGGTTTGAGGTTTTCGGTAAATCTGTCACGAGTGTACCAGTTTGGAGTTTTTGATGGTCAAAAAATTAGTTCGGGGTAAATTTATCACACCAGTTTGGGGTTTTTCGTGGTATTAACCCAAAAATGAATGGTTTTGAAAAAAAAAATTCTAAATAGGATCGATTGTATCAATTTAAAAAAATGAACGAAAATATTTACACATAAATTGTTAAAATAATTTTTCACTGGCTAATTATTTCAAGCAGCCATTTTTAGGAATATGCTTTTCGAATAATTTATTTTCGACGGAACAAATCGAGCCTTAAAGACACGGGGAAATTGGCATCCATCACGTGAGGCAGATTTGAGTGTTTGTTTTTTTCTCATATGAAGGGCTTGCACATTTGAGATCTTTTGGCCGGCCTAGCTCATCAAATCGGTCTTGTACAGTGGCGTAGAGTTCCTAAAGTGTGTAGATTTTGGAGGTCACCTTTTGGGATGAAATCTTGCTTTCTTCGGATGCCTGCATAGGCGACGGTGGTGAAAGTCGAGGCTATAGGTTGGACGGGAGCGGAACGGGAGGAAAAGGGACAAGAGAAGTTAGATTCAAACGAGATTCGGGACAGCTCGGATTATCACGTCGAAAGACGAAAAACAACGAGTAATTTCACAGTAATCTCTTTTCGTGCTTATAGATGTTAGTCATTTTCTTTTTTAATCTCTCGGTTCCGGAATGAATCCGTGCTCAAATGAACGAAACGTCGCGACGACGGCTGTTCGGTGAAAAGCGGTGTAAAGGATCGACGCGTTATGTCGTTCTATGTGGAGTGTCGGGAGTCTCGTGCCATCGGGATTGATGAGTAATTCGATGAGGCTAATTAGTGCTCATAGGATCAACAACTCGTGGAAATGGCATGCGGCTGATAGGAACAAGCTAGTTTCTGTTTCGAAAGTGTACTATGATGTGTAAATCCAGCCTCCTAACTATGCTCTAACTAAAGCTAATTTTCTATGGCCAACAGGCATACTGCCTGCTAGTAAAGAGATTGGCCAGTGGAGCGCAGAGTATCAGGTTCGGAGTTCGATTCCCATGAGTACCATACACAAATATACATAGTAGAAAGGAGTGAGACAAAAAAAAACGAGAGCTCATTTTCTATGTAGTTTGGCTCTTTGGTGGAACGCGAGTCACTAGATGAGTGTAAGAAATTGCCCATCAACGATCTAATATAGTAACACATTCCCCGCTAAGAAATATTCCGATCGGACATTTCTGATAGAATTACATTAACGAGTGTTGATACAGCACTTGCCGAGCATATTCAATGAGGAAAATTTCAATTGTTTAGGTAGTAAATAGCCAAACGATGCGAAAAAAGTCGACGTCAAGAGTTACGGTGTGTTTTTAGGGGTACTCATCGGGAAGATCCTTTTTATCTTTTTTGAATCCTCTTTGTGGGTACGACGATAATCCGAGGGACGAGACCCGTCGACCTGCGGCGTACCTATCAGCATCTAAGGTGATGTTCTTCGGACATCAGACTTTAGCAGGTACAAAATATTCGGACTCTTCGTACTAAGTATTCCCTTTGACGGGCCGGACGATCCCGCGAGGGCGAACCCCGGGCAACGATAGTTTCTCATCGGACCGAACCCGAAAGATCTAACCGATAAATTGGACGAGTCTAGACAAGCGATCCCTTCTAAAATGGCCCCGATGTACCCCAAATGGGCCCACTCATGCTTGCCCATGCATACCTACTTAGGCCCGGCCCATACAATTGGCCCATCCCGGCCCGTAATAGGCCCGGCCCGGCCCATTGATTGCCTGCTTTTCTTAGTTCTAGAGAGAGAGAGACGAGAGGAGAGAGAGAGAGAGAGAGAGAGAGAGAGAGATGGGAGCTGCGAGCAAAGCAGGGGATTTGGCGTTCAAGTCTTTCACGGCGGCGCTCGGCGTCGCCACCGTGTATCTGGCGGCCACCCTCTCCGTCAACGTCTACCGAGGCCTCGCCTGGCACAATGCTCAATCGGTACCTCTCCCCCCTTCGTCCCTCCCTCTACGAGAATTCGCGCCTATCTACGAATCCGTCGCGCAAGGCTGAGCGCTCTGGCTAGGGTTTTGTCTCAGTTTCCTCGATCGTGGCTGCGCGATCAGCGGAGGATTGTGCGGTTGAGCTGTTGTTGCATGAACTGTGTTATGATTCTAGGCGATTTTGCTTAATCTTTGCTGATCTTTTTGAAAACAATGTATATCCTGCTTAGTTGTTACAAGGATGCGTTTTCCTTCGCGAAAAATGAATAATTTGGGCAATATTTTCCTATAAATGATCGCCCATATCGCTTACAGAAATGAACGAACGGAAAATATTTTCTTCGTCTATGAAAATGTTTAAATATAAATTATTATCGATAATGGAACTAATTATTTCAAGCTAGCGACATAAGCGATCATTTTTTGGAAAATGGTTGCCAAATCATTCATGTTTCGTGAAGCGAACGGACCTTAAGAGTAGGTTACTTTGATAGTGAACGGGGGAATGGAATTGGACCAGTTGATGGGTTAGCTTAGAACCCAATGATAAGACTGCTGAGTCAAGCCGCAGGGTAGGCGAGGAAGATAATCGCGAGCGAACCTCGCGTTCGGTTTCAGCTTTCTCTTTTGTAGCATCTCGTTGTTGATAATTTCGATTTCAACAATCAGGCCTATTTGAATATATTGTCTTGTTACTGACCAATAGAAAAGAAACAATATATTGTCCCGTTGTTCAGAAGGGGTAAAGTGGGAGCGGGTAGCGGAGAGAAGTCTACATTTGCACAAATAATTTGGTCCTTAAGTTGATATGTCAAACTTGGCCGCTATCTTATGTTGCAAGTTGGAGATCTCGCAAACTCATCGACGCTTCTTGTCCTGTTTATAATCAGCATTTTTCCAGTTTACTGGAAAAGCAGAGAAGTATACAAAATTTACTGTATTACGATCGCAGGAGATGATATTTCATGTATATATTCTGCGAGCTAATCTTTACCCGCGCGTGATCCTGAGACTATGTGCTTGCTTCCTGTCGCGTCAGCAAGTTTCTATTTTGTGATACCTTCCTATACAATTGATTGTTCTAAAGGGGGCGAATCGAGTTTTCTAATATACCTCATAAGTACCCCGACAGTTGCTGCAGTAAAGAGAAGTCCTGCCAAACGCATAAATTAAACGTGAATATTGGCTATGTGGAGGATCTGTTGCTACTTTTTTTTTTATTTTTCCCTCGAGAGGTGCCCTTATTTATTTCTTCTTATCTCTTGTCCTGCTATTTCCAGACCGATAATCTAGATTTTGCTGAGATATTGAAATGTTCACCATTATATAGTCATCGAACGCGGAGCTTTGAAGTTCCAGAGATCAGGTTAGGGCATGATGAGATGGTGTATGTATATTTGGGAAAATGAATGAGTGCCTATGTTTACTAGCACCTTTTTGTTGGATGAGTTATCAAAATCTAGCCATTGCATAATTGCATTTTTGTTACTTAAGCTCAGTCAATGTAGTTACGCCGAGGATTTGCTGCTCCTAAGTGCATTCCAGTATCGGTCAGTCCCTGTCGATTGGTTTTTTGTGTGTTCCCCATGAGAGTTATACATGATTCGTATATGCTTTTGGCCTTTCTGTCTTTTAGTATTTCACAAACGAGTCCTTTTATTGGAGTTGAAGGTGGACCTTAAGTCTCCTTAGAATCTTGTACAATGGTGAGATGTTGGTGTGGATGCGTTACTTCATAAATGCTTGCAGATTTGAAGATTCTCATGAAGTTTTGTTGAAAAAGTTCTGTTCTTACATATTTCTTCAATTTTGGCCACTGCAGAAAATTGATGAGCAAGGCTCTAACGAGGAATCTACTTGACCTCTAACTCTCGTCGGTGCTGCCAATCTACAAGCGTATCAAGCAGCTTCAATTGCCATATGATGTTTGCTCCTGCAATGTGATCCGTTGAGTTGAAGGATAAATCCCGCCGCTCCGGTGAGGAAGCATTGGCTTTATGCAGCTGGTATTTTTTTTTTTGCTAGGGATGTTAAACTGCTTGTGATAATTCTTATACGTTGAATTTTAAGGCTGGCATTGAATAGCAACTCTTTCTTCCGTTGATACCCATTTTGATGGTTGCCACAACAAAACTCACGGGTCAATCATAGAAGGGCGACGATGGAAGGGTGAAATAAGGGCATTGTACTATGATTCTATTTTCACTATATTGCTGCTGCTGCTGCTGCTATTACCTTCCTATAATTGTTGGATAACTCCAACTAGTGTCTTAGGACTTGAACCATTGGGTTAAACTACTGCTTGTATCTTATCAATCCAGTCAAGAGAAGGACATTGATCCCACCCACCATTTGGAAAGTTGTGAATAAATCCCTAATCGGTTTCCTTTCAATCAGTTGGAGTATGTTGTGTATTGGGTCGATCGTACATAGCCTTTTGCGGTCGAAATGCTTCGAAAGGGAGTTTTCTCTTCCCCGTCGTACATAAGAGGAACTAGACGCCGGCCTCTCTCGTTTCTCATTTTAGCTCTTGGCTCCGACCTGTTTCTAAACTGATGAATTACAAAAGGGTTTCGTGTACGAGACGAGACGAGTCGATAAAGTTGATGGACTTGATAAAGCTATATTCATTGAGAATGGTAATAGAATAAGATTGTATTGTCGCATCACAATCGCTAACTAGATCTTGTTAAAGAATGCCTTCGGGCTCTGTTAACTTGCTATTTGCTTTTTCTTCTGTTTTGAACTATTTCTTTAGCTGAAATTGGACAGAGAGAATATGGCCATAAAAATATTCATATCTTCTCGGGTTTCGATTGTGTCGAGACAAATGAACGATTTTAGAAAATATTTTTCATTATCGATAATAATTTATATTTAAATATTTTTTAAATCGTTTATTTTTCTCAAAATAAAAACGAATTCAAACCGTCGAACTGGCGTCAACTAGACGACGCCGTAAGAATCAAGAGGATCTTCTTGCGCATTTACCAGCTTAACCCCGATGGGTTTGCCCCGTCAATCGCGGGGAAGCCCGAGGGCATACTCGTAATTTTCTCCGCCGGCACCTGTTTTTAGCGTCGCTCGTGCGGGTTTTGTCCGCCGGCGAGTCACAGCGAGGAGAGCCGCCGGCGAGAGAGAGAGAGAGAGAGAGAGAGAGAGAGAGGCGTTTCGGTTTCGGTTTGTTTCATCCAAAGTCTCTACCTTTCGCGTGCGCCCTGCCGCCTCCGTTGCCGCCTCCGTTGCCTCGCAGGGCTTTTCGATTCGAAGCCGAGAGGGAGAGGTTGATAGGAAGTGGAATGCAGCAGCTGCTCGTGGAATCGTCGGCGGGGATGGTTTCCGACTCGGTCGCGAACGCTTCGTCCCTTCCTTCGGTCCCCATCTCCAAGGATTTCGCCAAGAAGAAGAGGGTGCGCGCGCTCTTTCCCTCTCTCTCTCTCTCTCTCTTTGTGCGTTGGTTGACCTGTCAATCCGGGTGCGTTTCTGGGTTTTGTGCATTTGCAGGCCAACAGGTCGGCGAAGTTGAAGCAATGCAAGCTCGACGCCCGGCGGGAGCAGTGGCTTTCTCAGGGTACGCGTTTTTAATCGATCCGGTGTTTTTTCTCGGTTCCCTTCTTTGTGTTTTTGGTCTGGGTTGCTGGATTGGTGGTGTGCGGTCAATTGGGTATCTGAGAAATTTCGTTCTGGGGTACTGGCTTCGGTTTTTCGCGAGTTTCCGGATCCTTTGCTTGGTCTGGTTTTGGTTGTTTATTCGGGGAAATGTTTGCCCTGTGCAGTGAAGAAGAAAGAAGGAAAGGTGGAGGCTTGGGACGGCTGTCATGGGCAGCGAAATGGAAGTTATTGCTCGATGGGGAATGCGAACATGAGGAGGACGGTAGATGAGGAGGAGCATTACGGGTCATTCAGCCGTGAGAGTGATTCGGAGCTTCGGTTGAACAGCCCTGTCGGTTTCGACGGTGCGCTGGGGAAACATGAATCGGGGTCCAGCTACGGTGGTAGCAGCACCAGCTGCAGCAGCAGCAGCGCCGGTTGCTGTTCAGGGAGTATTACGGAAGAGGAGGATGGGGATGATGAGTGCTTGGATGATTGGGAAGCGGTGGCTGATGCCTTGGCTGCCAACGAAAGCTGCAAGACTCCACCACCCTTTGACCCGTATCCGGAAGAGGAACCTATTGGAAGATCGCAGTCTTGTGGTGTGATCCCAAATGAGACTGAAAGATCAGCATGTGAGGGTTTGAGAACGGGTTCAAAGTTTGCTCTAGTGAATTCCCGAGCATGGAGACCTGACGATGCTTATCGGCCGCTGAGTCTGCCTAATTTGTCGAAGCAACACTGTTTTGACAATTCAAATTGGCGTCATGGTAATGGAGGAGTCCCCTGGTTTTGCCCAGGTGTCTTGCCGGTCCCTACTTCTTGTCCCATTTGCTATGAAGATTTGGACTTAACAGACTCTAGCTTCATGCCTTGTTTTTGTGGGTTCCGTCTATGTCTTTTCTGCCATAAGAGGATTCTCGAGGAGGACAGCCGTTGCCCAGGTTGCAGAAGGCCCTACGAGCAGGATCCTGTAAAAGCAGAGGGGACTTTGCAAAGTGGCCTTCGAACTACCCGTTGACTCATTTTTACAACAACGCGAAGATCTTAGGAATTCTGTGCTGTTATACACAACGTATCTGGTCTGTCCTTCTCTGATGTCTGTTCAGCCTTTAACTAGGTCTAAGGTCTGATTTTCATGGACGTTCTCACGTGGTTTTTGAGTATCTGAGTTGAGTTGCTTCTCTCGAGAGTGAGTTAGGTTATTCTTACCTGTAACAAGCATGTCCTGTTGTAGAGGACTCGTTTTGCTATGTGAATACGCGAGGTGATATAGAAATTTCAAAAAGCGTCAATGGGGTTCTTTTCATCAAATAGATCCTTTTCCCTTCTAATTCTATATTATGTGAATTTCTGCTCTTTCACTACTAGAGGCTACCTTTGATTTATGTTGTCTAAGAAACCGAGACTACCTTATATCAAGTCTTAATCAGGTCCGACAAAATGAATTTGAGATCTGATTCTCTGAGGGCACAAATTTGAGTGACAAAATATCGTGCCATCTTGCTCTGGATGCATAGAGAAAACTCTACTTCTGAATGAAGCACCTTGCGGGATGATGTTTGGGGCTCGTGCATGTAATGCAATGAACAACGTGCATGTAATGCAATGAACAAAAAAGGCTTATGGTTAAATGACATAAAATTGCCAGCAAAGAAATGTTCTCCAAAAGCTCAGCTAATGGTGTGCTACTTAAGAGTCAAAAACAACTGAAGGTGTTCCCTTGCAGCATTCACTTAGGTTATTTCTTGAAATCATTACGACTGTCCAGTTTTATTTCCGCAAGTTAGCAAGATAATTCTGAGGAGAGAGCTAACTTACTACTGCTGAATGTTCAACGAGAAGTATTGAGATCGTTTCTTCCCAATTGGGTCTAGCATTTCCAACTATCCTCTACAACTTTCTTTTGTCCCCTATTATTGCCTGAAGCTGTGGCGTGATCAAAAATCATCGTCTGATTCACTTGAGGATGTTGTCATTGGTGTGTATGTCATGAAGTGGAACGACAAGTTCTGGAACTTCAATGGACTTCTAGGAGGTGAAGATGGTGGTGGGGATAGTCCTTCATTTCTGGTCACATTCTTCTTCTGTATTTTCTGAGTGATGTCCACTTTTACTCGATCGACCATCTCAAGGAAAACTTTCACGAGAAGAAACAATTGGAGCGGTTGTGTCCCCTTGTCATTATAAACTCCCACTTGATAATAGTCCGTGGTTCGCTTCAGAAGCTCCAGGACCCTTGCTTGCTCCTCTCTGACCACCTTGAGCTCCCGATCACACTCATCTAAAAATTCTTTCATTTCTCTCAGGTAGCTTCCTGGTTCACCATTATCAGATGTTGCCACAAGATTCCTAATTTCGGCAATGCGGCTTGAGAGAGAGGAACACATATTGAACAAACTTTCGTATTCAATGGTTGCTGCTCTTCTGACATTGGAAAGTTCTGTGTTTAGATTTCCTAGCTCTCCCAATCCTAGCATTAAACACTCTTTCTTATCCGCCATACTCTCGTCTGAGTCTGCACCGAATTGTCTGCTTCCTTGACTGCTAGCTCTGCGGATGTTATGGTTCTTGTTGATCAAGCGACGTTTTCCCTCGGAATGGGCAACCTGTTCGACTATGAAGTGCAGTAGAGTTGTCTTTCCATCAGTGCTTTTGATGTCTGAAAGCTTTCCAAGGGCATTTAAGTTGAAACCTTGTGCATTGCCTCTGGCAGTTCCAGCATTCATGCGGTTTCCTGCCTTGAGAATAGCTTCGAGAAGTTTGAATAAGAGGCCCCGATTCCTCAGCTCCTTGCATCCCAGTTCAAGCACTTGCAAGGATTCCTTTAGGTAAAGGACGTCTGAATCATAATTCGCCCGAAAAAGCATTGCGTTGAAGCGGGTGAAGGCCGAAGGAACGGCTCTCAGGATGTGGTAGAAAAAGCATTCTGCATCTGCAAGTTTGGTTGGGTCGCCATCGAAATGGAGGATTTTAGATTCTTCTTCTTGGGTGGGAGTTATTTTGGTGAGTTTCTCGAGCACATCACTGCTGAGTCCATGGCCCTCAAGGAGGGCATAGACAATTTCTTGACGGGATACTGCAAGTGATTTCAGTACAATTGCATTGTTTTGGGACTTCCGGGGTTCAAAAATGAAAATTCGGGATGATGAAGCAGAGTTGGGCCTGACTGAAGATGATTGCATGTTATTTCTTCTCTTTTCAGTGGATCTGGGATTCATTTCAGTGTATCCAAATAGTGTTTCGATTAGCTCATCGTCAAATCTGGATTTTAGAGAAGACTGTCGGTCAGCAGAAGTGAGATAAGCAGGTTGAAGCATGAGCTTTAGGAAAATTAACGAGTCAAATATCATATCAAAGTATTATGAGGACATCTTACCGCAATGATCCATCATTAATCTGATCCCACACTACTGAGTGATCGACATTGGAGATGACTTTGTCCCAATGCAATGGCTTGAGCTTCATCGGGCCACGATCTGCCCCTCTCGAGCTTTCTCCTCTTGGATTGCATGTCCTGCTTTCTTCTGCTGCTTTCCCTCTTGGCGCCGTTGGAGGTTTTGTTGATGAGAACATAACGCCTGCTGCTGCTTTTGGGGGAGGTGGTGGCGGTGTTGGCATTGAAGATCCTTTTCTTTTCACAGGAATGAGGGATCTCAGTAGCTGTGATGGTGGAGGTGGGGGTGGGGATGGGGGTGGTGGTGATGGTGGTGGTGGTGGTGGAGGAGGAGGTGGAGGTGGAGGAGGTGATGCTGTCATTTGCTGCATCGACATATAGGGGACTGAGGCCGGAGATGGTCCTGGAGTTGGAATAGCAAGCTGAGGGGGCAAAACATGTGGCTTTGGACCTGGATATTTTAGAGTCATTTTCCCTGGTTGCATGATAGTACTTTCATACGACGATTCGTGGTCGTCATAGATTGGATGCATATTTTTCCATGTTGATGCGGACTGTTCTAAACTCTCCGTCAGACAACACACTCTTTTCTCCTCTTTATGGTCTTCATAACTAGGATTAACGACCGTCTTTGAGGAGAAGCTCCTATGTTGGCCTTCTTCGAGCTTCCTCAGATAAAGTACATCCACACCACCCTCATCAACAATCAATCCTTTCACATTTTTACCTAGTTTCCCAAACATTTTGTTGGTCTCCTCAACTTCATACCGAAAGTTTGTGTTAGTCGTACTTCTCTTGACACGTCGAGCAGCAATGAATTTCCTGAACACCCAGAGGAAGATAGCAGCTACAACTAGAGTTCCAACCGCTGTACCAGTAACAGCCTTGATGATAGAATGGTCTGCTGATGGCGACGATGGAGGCGACGACATCTTGTGAAATTTTTTTATCCTTGCTACAAAGTGTAAAGAGAGCGTGTTCACCTCACTACTTATGTAATTGGTGGGAGAGGTATAGAATTTCAGATGGAAAACACCATTGCTCTAAACAATGACCGCAGACTTGCGGCAAGCGGGTTTTTGTTGTCTTGGTTCTAGTCTGTGAGTGAAAACATCAAATGATTGTGAGCATTCACACCTTGTTGGCTGCTGACAGTTTCAATGAAGGTAGTTGTTTGCAGTTGGTTGGTTAGACTTGTCAGAATTGTGCCAACTGTTGGGTTGTCAAAAATTATTAGGCCGTCCTGCCTCCTTGTATTGTAGTTCGCAAACAATGCATAAGCTTTGAGGCGAGAGGGCGAGTATTTTGGAATGCCTCGTGTGTCGTTGTTTTTGTTCTCTTCCCTTTGTTCATTGTGGGCATTTACTTCGAGTTGTTTCATCAGTTCCAGCTACTCTTGAGCTGGAGTTTCTTCATAGTTTCCATTTGTATTTCGATGATTACAGGGTTATTAACAGCTAGGCATGCACTCGAATTTACGTGGGCTAAATGACAATGCACCACATGGCACGAGCGGCTTGCGTCTGTCGTGCTGCTGATTTGGCGATTTCCTTGTTTGTTAACCGGTCACAGCACTTCCCGTGGAGGTAATTTCGACCATCTATTTTCAGATCACTTCCCATGCTGTTGTTAATGCGACGGATGAACGTTTGTGAATGCCGTGGATAGATGGGTGATCTGCCTTGGACGTTTAATGCTGGTCGGATCGGTTCGTCTACTTATGCCTTTGACATCTTAAATACCATCCTGTTTTAGCTCTCGACTTTTCGCCGTTGCTAATATCGAATCTCCATTCTCTCTCTATTTGATGGTAACACCACTGTTGGGTCAAGATCAATTCACTCTAATAGCTACATTTGCATTCATTGGCACCCATATGGGCCATGGAGTGTAGGTCTGAGCTCAAGGATGGAGAATCTAATCTTGCTCGTGGTGGTCGACAGATGAAGAACCGTTGAGCATCGAATGACGGCCTGAAATTGGCAAGCATGTATTGAATTATGTAAATGACAATTCAGGCTTTTGGTAGATGGTCCCCCAACTACTGATGAGACGAGAAATAATTCGAGATCAGATTCGCGCATATAAAAAAGATGATTGGGAAATAATTTTCAATCTCGTAAGAGTAGAATTTGCCGGTTTCGATAGGTTCAAGTTCTTCGTCAGAACCCCACGTGCTAGTATAAACACTTGAACGTAGAATGAAGGGGAAAGAGAACATATTATATTTGCTGACCAAAAAGTGTCATTCCTAACCGTGAATGATCATGGGTCAAAAAACATCAATAAATCAAATTTTGTTATATACGAATGAATCTGTTCAACCTTGATGATGTATCTTAAGCCTCTTTGATGAAGAGGGAGCTATAGATGGTGACGAGGAATCGGATGATGAAGATGTGCACGCTGCGCGATCACAACTGCACGGTGGTGACACTGGCGATGGGGCATGGCCGTCGTCGCGATCGTTGTTTTCTTCGAGTCTTCTCTTGTTGATTCTTCTGTCCGAGCAAACTTCTCCCCCTCCCATCACGAAATTTTTCAGGCGCTCAACGTCGGACAGTTTCACCGGCTTCGCAAGAAATTCCTCTGCTCCTTCCTCTAGACATCTATCCATCAAGAAAAAAAGATCCCCCACAATATGAGAAACTTAAAATAGAAACTGCAGATAAAAGTATTCATGAGGCGATAGAGAGGCTAGTTTAAATAAGACTGGTAGCCGATCAAGGTCTCAGGCTATCTTCCAAATTCTTATACTTATTTTCAAGGTATAATTCAAGCAAATCTGCAACTTCAACCAGTATCAAACATTGAATAGCAATCCATCTATACCAAATTATCCTCCCTACTGGTATTTTGGGCCAGATCATCCTCTTGATGTGTAATGCCAAAGACAATCTTTTCAATTCAATCTCTTGCATACAAAACTTGTAATGACTACTGCAGGAAGTTCCCTGAACTAGGTCAATCCTGATGATTTGTTTATGCTTATACACTATAACATACATGGTGAAGAGCCAAATGTTTCTAAACTTCAAATAGCAGTAGACTCGAAGCGAAACAATACCGGTTGATACGGGCAAGGATTCTTTCGGAGGACATGATAACCACCGGTGTTTCTCTGAAAGCTGATGATTCCTGTTCAGATTTACAAAGAAGTCTCAGACCCTGTCCCAAAATGATGCCTTTGAAGCAGAACATGTGGGGGGCATGAATAGTGAGACCCATCACACTTCCACCCCTTTTTCTTGGTTTTCTTATGCTTTCTTCACAACAAAACTTGCAGATTTGACAGAATGATTCTCGTAAAAGCGAAAAACCACTGACCTTGATCTTCTTGAGAAGCTCATATCCAGTCATCCCGGGCATAGAGTAATCAGTCATTATCAGATTAACCTTCAGATCCTGATTTTCAAGAATGAACAGTCAGCACTCAACATCTTTCTTATAGCTCAAACTCAACAAAACAATTCTTCAGACAAGCAAAACTGCCGTCCAAAAGCAGCATTACTACAAAACACAATTTCTTCTCGCTAAGGCTGATTTCTTTATTAGTTTCCTGTCGTTTTTTAATCAACCAACAAAACAAAGCAGGCACAGCGCAAATGAAGAAACCTCACACAAGAGCTAAACTTGGTTCTTACATCAAATCCAACAGAGCTCTTCTCTCCATCCAATCCCAGATACTGCAAAGCTCTTAATCCACTGTCTACAGCCGTAACTGCAGATTCAAATGCCAAATAGGATTCAATTCAACCGAGTCAAATCATTACCCAGTGCAAAATAAATCAAGAAAAATTTAAGCGAAGAAAACATACACCCACCTTTACAAGACAATCTCTTGAGCAGCTTCTCGATGACCTTCCTATCCACAAGGCTATCATCCACCGCAAGAACATGCAGCTCCTGAGCCGACCCACCACACACATCGACCTCCGCCGGCGACTGCCGCCGGAGAATCTCGCCGGCCATCGTCATAATAACTCGCAAGAAAAGATGGAGCAAAGAACCTGCTCTCTTTCCCTTTTGTTGATGTTGATGAAAACTGTACCAAGTGCCCTGTTTCTGATGCAGGGTCTCGATGAATGAATGAGGAAGAAAGTGGAACGTTGCAATGACGGGTCTTTATAGCCCCGGGAAGTGGTGGGCAACAGGGAGAGAGAAAAACCAGAGGAAAAAAAAAAGAAAAGAGAAAAGGAGAAGATCTTGGCGATTTTGCCTTTTCAAATTGAATGGAAGGAGGCAGATAAAGGCGAGATTCTCAGAAAGATCCTATTTCCTTGGCGATATCTTTTTGCAAAATCCACCGGCATTATCTCCCCCCACTTGTCCCTTGTCCTGTCAGACAAGTCCCGTTTCCGCTGTTGCTCTTTTGTTTTACTCCTTCTCCTCCTCCTCTGGCTAACGTTTGACAGACAGAACGCATTCATGTAACTTCATGTCCTCTGTTTTTCAGTGCTCATCAATATGGGCTGGGTGTGCTACCCGCCCGCGCATGGATTTTTGAGCCACGATTGTTTTCATTGTACACGCACAGTATCCGATTATCAAGAATAACGAAAGAAAGAAAGAAAAGAACAGGGCAACAGATGTTAGGATTAACATCACGTGAAATACTAAATTGACACACGTGATAAATTTATCCAAAATTAATCGAAAATTTCAAACTGATATATCCGTGATAAATTTCACAAACCGGTATACATGCGACAAAAGAAAGGTAAAAACCCTCCAAATCGGTACACCTGTCAATTTTCGCGTATTATTCAACTTAGCAATTTGATTGTAAAATTTAACGGAAATAAATTTGTCACGGTAATTCCATTTTGGGACGTGTATTGATTTAGAGTGTTTTTTTGTAGTATTAACTCCGGATATTATTGGTAAAATGGCCCTTGATTCTTGCTTTTTTTCAGGTCCGGAAAGGATCAAACTTTTAACGCAGGAAAAGATGAATTGCATTTGACTTTTGGTACGATGCCGAGAAACCTTCGGATCCAAGGAAAATGAGGTGACCAAAGGAAGGGTCCACCGAAAGATCTTGCTCGGATCTTGTCATGGTTCTCAAACAGAGGACAGGTTGGTGGGGGTTTTCAAGAACCGGGTATTCAAACCTGGGGGTCCTGCTTTGGCAAGAAGGGTGTTAGAAAATGGAAAAAAAAAATAAAAAAAAAAACAGGACCATCAAAATTGTAATCCTGTTTTTTTTTTTTCTTAAATAATGCGTATCGTGAAATTTTAATAAAAATCTTAGGAATAGAATATCGTATCGCTGCTTCTATAATGACCATGCCACGTGAGATAATGACACGTGATGTACATCTAATCAGTCGTCATCGTCCGATTGACAAATATGCACGTGAATATTTCGATTTGATAAATCTCAATCTCCACAGACGCGTGCGAATTATCCCGTTTGCGAGCATTGAATGAGAACCCATTACCTGTGCAGCGACAGGCGTGGCCTTTGGAAAGTTACTTTAAGTAGGAAATCTTATTTCGACAAATCGATTACCCAATAAACCTTTCCCGACGGACGTCGACGGGTCGTTTCTCAACCCTTTACCTCTTTTACTTTTCATGAATATATATATAGCACGGTCCATAAGATTCGACCGTATAATCTAATATCTCTCGCGATCATTCTGTTCAGCTCCGAAATCTCCGTATCCGTATTACGTTGCTCTGCAAACACAAATTCGAAAACGGGCTGCTTTTTCCTCCCTTCTATGAACCGAACGAAGTTCTCAACAACTACATCTCTAGTATCGGATTACAAACATGGACATCATTCACGTACGAATCCTTCCCAAAAACGAGCATGTCCCGGATGACCTTTAGAGCTCATCCTTTCAAGCACCCCAGTGACCGAAGAAGCTCAATCGTCCTGTGTAAAAAAAGGAGGGAAATCCCAGAAAGCCAAATCTGAATCCCAAATCCAATCATTGGATCCTTCACCAGAGATTTAGATGCCCCGGATAAAGAGCCAGAGCCATTGAAAAAAAAGAAAAAGTTGTACAAAAAGAAAAGATGGGGTCCTCGCTTTTACAGGTGAGAAAACTATTACATCATAAAAAAACATAAATAAAAAGAAGTCTTTCCTTGAGAAAACAAAAAATATATATATGTATAAATATAAGATTAATACCTTAAAAAACTCAAACCCGGTATAAAAATTCTAAACCGATACACCTACGACAAATTTATCCACCGATAATTTTGGTTAAATTTTATCGTTAAATTGGTATAATTGATGACATGTAGCAGTCAACAGGTGTACCGATTTGGGGTTTTTTATCTTCCGTTGCATGTGATTTTTTGCGATATTAATTTAATTCAACGGAAACTAACGGAGGATAAATTTGTTGTCACTACTGTATCAATTTTAGGTTCTTTTAGTTTTGGGTAAATTTATTACGGGCATTTCGATTTAGGATTTTTGAGGTAGATTTATCGTAAATGTACCGTCGTGGATTCTTCGTGATATTAAATTCAAAAAGAAAATATGTATATAAATATATTAAAAAATAGGAGAAGGAAAAAAAAGGGAAGGTTGAAAGGGACGGCTGAGGTTTGACTGGAGAGGGTCAAGACATTGACTTGGGGTATCGTGTGGTCTGATCGAGTCCGTCCATGTGGCGGCTCTCGAGAAAATCAAAATGAAAATTGACAAAAAAAAAGGAGGAGGAGAAGGAAGAAGACAAAGAAGTGGGGATGTGCGATGGGTCGCCATCCTTGAAGATATCAGAGCGAAGCGAGATATGCTCTTTGCACGGACCATATCTTTCGATTTTGTGTTCAAAACGGGTCGGTAGGTCCCATGAATCTTCTACTCCCCCCTATTTTGATTTATTCGGCAAACGCTCCTTTCTGTCAAACTTACTTGGAAATAGATTTGGGACCTCTAGACGGGGATTTCGATCGCAAAAATTGTACACCTGTCAAATGGATTGGTTAGATCGAAAATTGCCGATTCAAATTGATTCATTTATCTCATTTTGACTCAACATAAATTTAGTGGCTCGACCGACCCCGTACATACCCGATCCAGCTCATGTTGTTAAAACACATCCATAATCCGGAAAAAACCCATACCTGAACTGAGGTGAGAAAATAGAGCGAGTGAGGAAGAGTTATAGAGGTGAGTTGGATTTAAATAAGTTGCGAATCAATTTAGCACCCATGTTATATTGGCATTTACCATTCTAAACCCATTTACTAAATATAACTTAATTCATACAACAATTCAGCCAATCAAACGTGGGTTAAGAAACGGGTCTAGTGACTTATTTTTGACATGTCTTGTGAAAAGAGATATTGCGATTCTATAAGGCGTTCCGCATAAGCCTCGCGATTTCCAATATCTCCCCGGTCGCAACGGCTTTTTAGGAAGTTGTTCCACCCAGTGTTAAGGGTGCTACAATTTCCCGACATGAATTATCAAATGCGTAAACCACATCACTTCGCGTCACGACACTAGTTACATCTCAACCATTAGATATAGAGTAAGCACGGATGTGGGATCATGACCCGAACGAGACAAATTTGCCCCACTTGGCTCAATCTTCGAACTCAAATTAAAGCATCGTAGGAAGTTCACCATCTATTTTGTCATTGGCATAGTTAGACTTGTAACATTATGTTGTCCAAGCTTAGGATGCGTTTGTTTAACGAAAAATAAATTACTTGGATAACATTTTCCTAAAAATAATCTCTCACATCACTTACAAAAACGGACGAACCAAAAAAAGTTTTCCTAAAAATAACTTGTGGTTTTTGTTGATCGAATTTTTTGACAAGCCACGTCGGCCAATTACTAAAAAATTCATGTCCCGTTAGATTTTTCGGCCATACAAAACGTCGATGGCATTTAAACGAATGATTATTAACCAATGTGGCACTCAAGTGATAAAAAAAAGAAGATATGACACTTAAATGAGTATTGTAAGAAAGTTACTATATAGAGAAGGACATAAGATAAGATCGTAAATGAATAAGAGGATGTGTTAGCAGATGTTCACTATATATCATCATTATTTTTAGATTATAGTCCAAAAATAAGTATCCTTAAACTTTAGAGTTAATATCACGAAAAATCCCAAACTGGTATATCTGTGACAAATTTATCCCAAACTAATTTTTTGATCACCAAAAATTCAAAACTGATAGACTTGTGATAAATTTATCCAAAACTAATTTTTTGACCACCAAAAATCCCAAACCGGTACACTTGTGACAAATTTACCCCCCGTTAGTTTTCGCTAAATTGGATTAATACAAAAAAAAATCAAAAAATGGTATGCTTATGATCAATGAAGGGTAAAACATAAAACCGATACATCCGTTAACTGTTGCACGTCATTTAACAAAGTAATTTGACAATAAAATTTAACGGAAACAAATTGAGTGTAAATTTGTCACAGATGTACCAATTTGGGGTTTTTTGTCAAAAAATTAATTTTGAGTAAGTTTATCATAAGTGTACCAATTTGAGATTTTTTATGATATTAACCCTAAACTTTATCAATAGGAAATGACTTTCCCCACAAAGCCCGAGTAAAGTTCCTTACTATGTCAAAAGTCGGGATTACTTAATCAGAACTCTCGAGTCACGATTCAGGTCACTATCTATAGAGTCGTGGATACTCGTTGATATACCAACGTATATAGAAAATCAAGTTACGACACATAAAAAAAAGGTGGTCAAGATTCATATTTTCAAAGTAGGATTAAATTTCTACCTACCAAAAAAAAAAATACGATTAAATTATTATAAGAAGACTCTTTTAGGATCTTCTCCATATTTTCAGCTCCAAGCAGTAGCTAAAAGGAAAGTCGCAAAAACATAAGAGAAGTTTAAAGAAAAAAAACTGAAATAGAACACCGTTTCGAGTTCAACCTGATGTTCTCCGTCTTCGCGTAACGCGAACGAGAGACAGAGCGAGCGAGAGAGATTTGCCTTCGCGATATGGGATTCTCACGAGTCACATCGAGGCGTCGTCGTCTTCTCGATCTCCGTCCGCGGGAGGAGCCATCGCTCAGATCTCTCTCTCCCTCGATCAGAGGAAAGGAAGCCTTCGCCTTCCAGCTCGATCTTCGCCTTTCGGTGGTGTCCGAAAAAGGAAAACGCCGAAGCAAAATCCGAAAGCTCTCTCTCTCTCTCTCTCTCTCTCTGAAGACCGATCGGTGGCGAATCTGATGATGGTGATGATGATGATGATCCGCGTCGGTGTTTGTGTGCGATTGATTGGGGGGGTTTTCTTGCCTCCCTCTTTTGGCGAGCAAACCGAGGTGTGGTGTGGGCCGCGAGATGAGATGAGATCGGATCGGATCGGATCGGATCTCGTGTGGGAGGGAATGCGAGGATTGATCCTCATCGAGCTCCGATTTTGGGACCGGCGGAAGCGACAGATGCTTTTTCGACGGGCGACGACGCCGACGTCTGATCGG